TTCTAAAAGCATCTAGACAAGGAAACACGAATGGCAAGGTGAGTACAGAGTGGCAAATCTCAATTAGTGAGGCTCAGTGATGGAAGTTCTAGGGAGGGGGCAAAGGCACCAGCCCTGACCTGAGACTAGACACCCTTGTCTGGATGGCAGAGAAGAGGGGTCAGAAGGAAGGGCATTTCCCAGCTGTGTGTTTGATAAAGCACTGAGCTGACTTTCCCTGCTGGCCCTCACCCCTCAGGAAGTACTCACCACCTGTGGGGTCTGCCTTGATGGGCTCAAAGGAGGTAGAAGGGTTGGGTCCAGATGAACTGCTGCTGCTGCTGCTGCTGCTGCTGCTGCTGCTGCTGCTGCTGTCCAGGAGGGCAGAAGACTGCAGAGGCCGAGTGTCCAATGTTGTCAGGCCCAGTGAGAGTGAGCTGAGCTCACCACTGTCCTTGTTTTCAGTTCCAGGGCCACCACTCACTGCAAACATATCCCCAAACCCAATCGCATGGAGTCAGGAAATGGACCCTAGAACTTGGCTAGGCTAGATGTTATGGCCAAAATGACCACAATGCTGGTATACAAAACTAAAGAGAATTAGCCACCACTAGTTACAAGAAGCAATCTAGAAAAGATCACTGAAGATAGAGCAAAGGTCCGGGAGGAGGGAGACTTGTTACGTTGCCAGGACCCATTGGATACTGTCTAATTTGGGATAAACTTGCCTACTAACACTCCTTACATAGTCAAAGCTTCCTTGTTTTCTTGCATGTTCAGGGCAAGTGAGATGGCCCAGTGAGTAATGACACTTGTGGATAAACCTGATAACCTGAGCTTGATCCCCAGAACCCATATTAAAGGAGAGAACCAGTCTCTCAAGTTGCCATCTGACCTGACCTCCACGTGTATGTTGTGCATGCCTCCCCCTCAAAAATAAATAAAAGAAAAAAGTAATTTAAAACGGCATATTCACAAGGAAAGTTAAGTGGGGGCCCGGCAGCCTATTCCAATTCTTAGGACGGTACTCCACAACACAGACACCTTCTTGCGGGTTCCAGAATAACTCATTACATCTTACCATGAGTCTCACCTGCAATCTCAGCTGTCTGGCCTGCCACCTCTGAGACTTCAGTGCTGCCAAGGACAGGAGCGGGGGTGGTTAACTGGGGACTGCATGGACGAGAGGTTTCCTGGGGCTGAGCTAAGGCAGGCTTGGGCAGAGGTGGAGGAGTAGAAACAGCAGGTGGACTCTGGAGCAGATCCTCAGGGGGAGGTACAGGCACCGCCACAGGTGGCGAACTCCAGGCCTCCTTGTTCACTAGCAACACCTCGATGGGGCCGCTCATGCTCTTTAAGTGAATCTGGTACTTCTTCTGACCATTGAGACCCTGGTGGTGGGTGCAGAAGATGGGGAACAAGTAAAATTGCAGGCAGGCATGGCTTGCTGGGTGAGAGCCAGACTGTCTGCCAATCCACCTAGATAACCCCAAACTCCAGGCCTCCCCCTACCTGCCACACCCAGAACTTATCAAGCTCCACAGCCAGCATCTGCCCTCAGTTGACACCGCCTTCCAGGGATGAGCACCTACCTCTGGGATGGGCACCTCTAGACTGGTGCCTGATGGGGCCCGGATGGCAAGCAGGGTGTCTCCTAGAATCACAAGGAGAATGGGTCAGGGCCCAGGAGCTCAATCTGAGCTAGGAAAGGAAGTGTCTGTTCACTGGAGCAAGACAAGAAGCCACAGTCTCTAGGAGACTGAGTATTAAACCTCTACCATCCCAGAGTGATGGGCCGGGCTAAAACTCTTTTCTCCCCAAAAACTCATGCTCAGTAACCAGAAAATCCAGTGCAAACACACTTCTTTTTTTCCTTCCTTTTGAGACAGAGTTTTGTTTGTTTTTTCAAGGCAGGGTTTTTTTTGTGTTAATAGCTCTGGCTATTAACTTGCAACGTAGACCAGTCTGACCTCAAACTCAGATCTGCCTCCTCTACCTTCAAGTGCTGGTATTCAAGTACAGTTACATTCTGGAGTGAGGTCACTAGCTACAGGTAGCACTTCACTTCTCAAATATGTTGATCCCTGGAAACACATCTAACCAAGTTTTCCCAAGACCAAGATACAAGACGGAATATAAAAAGGAATAGCTCCTATATACACAATGCGACTGAACTAACTACAGACTGGAAATGGATGCTGCCGGCCCTTGTACACAAACATACACATTCTGCTTTTTCTCTGTGCCTCTGTCATGTCTAAGAACCAAACTCAGAGAACACTGCTGATGAGAGCAAACCCAGGGACACACGGGACGCTTGTACCCTCAGTGTTGCTGGTCTCTCCAGAGTTCCAGTGGCTCTCAAATGGAGAGGCTGCCTGGCTTCTGTTTAAGCAGGTACCAGGATCCCTCTTAGGAGATGAACTTCTCCTTGAGCACTGAACCTGATGCCCAGCCCCACCCTCGTCTCCCCTTCCCCAGGCTCTGCTCACCAGCAAAGCATCTGCAGATGTCTTCGTGGGTCACATAGGCCAAGGTGTGGGGGTTAAGGAGAACAGCGGATGACTTTCTTATTGTGCCAGATGGCAGACCACAGAAGACCCAATGTTTTAGCAGCTGTCTGACACACAAGCCCTCAGAGGAAGTTCTGGAACCTGGGGTCCAAGTGGGTAAGGATCAAGGGCTAAGGTTGGAAGAGAAGGGAGTCTCAAGTCTGAATCCAACCAGGGGCTGCAGGATCATTCTCCCAAGAAAGACAGGGCCCAGCGCCCCACGGGGCAAAGCCAGCTGAGGGTCCCTTGCCCACTCCCCAGAGCAGGGCCTGCCAGAGGATATCAGCTGTTCTGGACGTCCTCTGTGACATTCCGGATGCTCTGCTGCACCCACACCTTGTGCTGGTCAAGCTCTTGCTCCCGCTGCTGCAGCTCCTCGATCTCTGCCTTGAGCTCAATCAGCTTGTCGGCAATCTCCCGGGTATTGCAACCGGGCCCCACACCCCTGAACCGGAGGAATGAGAGACTGAGAGGACCTGCTGAGAACTCCAGGTCCCATACCTCTGTTCTCCTACAGCCACCCTCCCACGCCCGGACACTTTTGCCCTCCCTAACATCCCTACTCACTTCCACTGGATGCTGTTCTTGGACTTTTTCTCGATCAGACCAATACCTTCCAACACGTTGGTGATGTCGTAAATCCGCCGTTTCTGGCGCACAGCGAGAGTGTCGGCTGCCTGGCAAGCAGAAGAGAATGGAGAACGCTAGCGCCGCTCTTAAGTGTGCACCCCGATACCTATAGTCTGGGATGGGGGTAAGTCTTGTGCCCCACCCCTGGAGTTCCTTCCAGTCACTCTAGCAGTGTGTTGGGGAGAGTCTTGGCTTAGTTGTGTTCTGATAGTCTGATGCTCGTTTCCCTGTGCTAGCCACGAAGGGCCACGAGGACCAGCACCTGCAGCCCCAACTCAGACACAGAGCTGACGCTCAGTGGCTTGAGCGAATGAAAACAGCCTCCCGCCTCTCGCCCGTGAGAAAGCACACGGCTAGCGGCCGACTGCTGGGGGACCTAGGGGGGCAGGACTGCGGTTCCCGCTACTGGTCCAGGCCTGGTCCACCATCTCCCCGGTCGCCCCTCAGCCCGGGCCGCACCAGCTTGAGGTCAAGCACGCCGTCCTTGGCTTCCTGCAGAAGCGACACGAACTTGGTGGTGAGAAGCCCCAGACTCTTCTCGTGCCTGCTTGGAGTACCCGGGGGCGGCGGCGCCTGTGGCCCGGCCTCCGCCATCGCACCCGCCCGCCCTCCGCCTCCCCTCAGCCAGGCCAGGCCAGGCCGGCGGCGGCGCCACTTCCGCTTCCGTTCTTAGACGCCGGGCCACCGGAGCTCTCACCGCTGCTTCCGCTTCCGTCTCGCGCCCTCCTAGGGTAACTGGTGCAATTCCTGTCTGCAGTTCTAGACGTAAAACTTCGGGGACCATCAACAAATGTACCATTAGCAAAGAAGACGAAAAAATCTCCTAGAACCGCTAGTAGACATAACAGATTGTATAGAAGGAAGTGGCAGGGGCCGGGCCAGGATTGTCAGTGAGCAGTCCTGGCAGTAGAGAAGAGGGAACCACCAGAATCTTCCTTGCTAACGTGCCTCCAAGCTAACTGCCCGAACCCCCTTCTAGAGAAGGGAGGCCATACCGCCTGATAAGCTTGGCCTATTAACGTAAAACTACTCCGAAGGCTTCCTTACTGCTTTGAGATCATCCCTGCCTTCTTTACTTCTTGCCAAACCAGCAAGCACTAACTATATCTAGCCTGCCCACTTCTTCCATCTCTACTCCTCTTCTTTAGTTCCAGCATCATTTTCCTCTGACCTCCATACAGTTCAGAGGCCAGGAGTCTTGTTTACAACCACTTCTCAGCCTATGTATTTGTCTACGTAGGCATATAAGGAAAATCTTTAAGGCAGTTCCTGACAGATAGGAAGAACTGTGTGTTTGCAAGTCTCATTTATTTTTAAAGTTTTTACTTTATTTTTATTATTTGTAAATATGTGTGTCTGTGTGGGAGTTTGTGCACATGTGTACAGGTACTCAGGGAGGTTTAGAAGAGGGTGCCAAATCCAGGAGCTGGAGTTAACAGGCAGTTGTGAACTGCCATGTAGGTGCGGGGAATTGAACCTCTGTCCTCTGCGAGAGCAGCTAGTGCTCTTGACTGAACCTCTTGCCAGTGGTACCATCTGATTTATTTTTAACATTGTTATCACTTGTTAGTTTATTTTGGTCAGTTCCTCTAGGAAGGGAACTGCCTTCAGCAAGTCTACTGAGGATTCAGACTTGTAAGACTGTAAAACAAGGGCTGGAGAGATGGCTCAGAGGTTAAGAGCACTGGCTACACTTCCAAAGGTCCTGAGTTCAATTCCCAGCAACCACATGGTGGCTCACAACCATCTGTAATGAAATATGCTGCCCTCTTCTGGCCTGCAGGGACATATGCAGACAGACCACTGTATACTTAATAAATAAATCTTTAAAAAAAAAAAGAGTGTAAAACAAGCAGAATTCACAAGAGCTAGTTATAAGAGAGTCTATGGTACTAACTCTGAAATTAAGGTACACCTTAATTCTGAGGTGTTCATGTTCAGCAAGGGTACTTACTTGGGCCTTTGTACATCAAAACTGACTCAGAACTCCAGTGACAAAGCCCTCTGTAGCCTAGACTTCTGGCTTCTAGGAAATGAGGGTCCACCCTGATGGATGGATTTGGGTGGTACACCAAGTGGTGACTACATTATTATCATCCAATGTCGGTGGCTCCCTATCGGTTTCAGGAACAATGTAACTTTTCTGATCCCTGAAGTGTTGTCTCCCACTGCACTCTCTCCAAACAACAGACACTCTTTCCTCTACACAGTTCTTGCTCTTCCCTGTGGGGGGAGAGGGGGAGAGCCATCAGCAGTCTCCGATTGTCATGTTGTGTGCAGTCACATCAACACACGGGAGGGTCATTCTTCAAACCACCTTGGTATGTGCATATGTGTTTCCTGAGCACTCAGAAGTCCTAGATGGGCTGGTCAAGACTTAATGATAACAGGGAGTTCATGCCTGCCCCCACCCCACAGGAAGTGGCGCCCAGCTCTCCCCACCTCAATGCAGATGCTTTTCCTGTTGGGAATAAAGCGACAGAGACTCAACTTCCTTCCTTTCTGGAAAAGGAGGGGCCTTGGGGAGAAAAAGGGACTTTTGGGCTGGCAAGTGAGAGAGAGACTTCCTTGGGGAGAGGAATTTGGCTGCTGGTGCCAGAGGAGCGTGAGCAGTGAGGGTGTGCCCAGCTCTGCAGGAGGGAGAAGGCCACTCTCAAGGCCAAGGCCTTTGTGGAGGAGGGAGGACTGGGCACCGGTCAGACCTGGTAAGTTCTGTACCAAATTTCCTGGGCATTACAGAGCAGAAAAGGGACTTGCAGCTAGCGTGCTGGGCCTACTTGCATGCTCTCACACTTGGCATCTGCAGAGGCACAACCCAGAACCGCAGAGGGCCAAGGCCTCCCAGGTAACCCCCTTCTGTCATTCCTCCCTCTCTTTTATTTTCTCAAGGGACTAGGGAAGAGCCTTGTTCTTCTTTCTCAGAGGGGACAAAGGGATATTCACTCTGCCTGAGCGACGCCAGGCTGTCACCTGCACGCCTGTCACATCTCCAGCTCCTCAGGCACACCATGGACTCAGCAGCCGAGGACAAAATACAGCCCATCCTTCTTCCTGGTATGAGCCTTGCTAGCTAGGCTGGGGGGAGGATGAGGGTAAGAAAAATGGAAACAGTGGTGCTGTGTTTTCCTGCCAGGTCTGGCTAGAACTCTATAGGGTAGCAAAGGGTGGGCTCTCCGGACGACTGGCTGGGGAACAAGAAGGGCAGCAGGTTTGTTAGCCACAGGCCCACCCTGATGGACACATCTGCCCAGGCTCTTCCTGTCCAGGGCCTGAGTGGCCAGAGCAGGAGAGGGCAGAACAGCTGGCTCGGGGCGCAGCACTCAAGTGGGCCTCGGGCATCTTCTACCGGCCAGAGCAGCTGGCCAGGCTGGGCCAGTACCGAAGCCGTGAAGTGCAGCGTAACTATTTCCTGGAAGCACGAATTAAGGTGGGTACAGGACCAGGGAGCAGGAGCGTTGGAGTGGGACGTAGGGCTGGCCAGGCCTTACCAGCTAACTCTCCACAGTCGGTGGTGCAATCATACCTTGAAGGTGTACAGACTGGTGTGTGGCAGCTGACTCGAGCCCTTGAGGCTGTGCAGGGAACGCGTAAAGCCCTGAGCCAGGCCCGCCACTTACTCCAGGGTTTGTCTCAGACCTCACAAACCCTGGCACCCCTGAGGGAACATGTCGTCCAGCACAGGCAACTTCAGGTCCTCACTCAGTTGCTGCCAAGACTACAAGCAGGTGAGTAGGGGGGTTGGGGTGGGGTTCTCTGGGCTCGGCTTCTAAGAGTCCACAAATACCCACGCTGAGCAGCAGCTGGGTCACTAGGGAAGTGATTACATGGAGAGGTGCACCCGGGACATCCCAGAGAGTAATCCTCAACTTCAAAGAGTATCTGAAATAGGGTACACAAGCAGCCCATCCTGGGCTTCTCAAGCATGGACATGGAAGTCAGCATGGACATCCCATTATGTGGCTGTGACCACAGTGGTTAGCGCATTGAAAGGGCTTTGGCTCTAACTCAGAGGTAGAGCATGTGCTTAGTATGTGCAGGACCCTAAATTCAGTCCCAGGCATTCCCCCCAAATTACACACACACACACATACAAAGTTCAACAATACTTGCATCTCTATATATGCATCTATATCTATCTATCTATCTATATATATATACACACACACACACATAAATACAAATATATATTGTAGCTAACAAGGTGGGAGAATAGCAGTCAATATGATCTCCCATTTGTTTTGTCTGTCCTCTAACATTCTTTTGAAAGATTTTTATTTTGTGTATGTTTGGGTGCCTGTATGTATGTATGTGTACCACCACATGAGTGCCTGGTACATGCAGGGGTCAGAAGAGGACTTAGATCCCCTGGAACTGGAGTCATAGGCAGTTGTGAGTTACCACATGGGTGCTGGGAGTCGAACCCAGGTCCTATGCAAAAAAGCAGCAAGTGCTCACAACCACTGAGGCATCTCTCAAGCCTCCCACCCACCTCCCCAGCATTCTTGATTTCATGTTCTATTGGCTCAGGGATTGACATATGGCCCAACTCTAGGCCATAGCCTGAATATTCAGATTAACCAGCGCTCTGCTGTGCTCACCACTAAATATTAAACACTTCACATGGGTCTCAGGACTCTGTGTCCCTTGCTGTACCAACAGCACAGGTGGGAAGACTGGGAACTCAAGCGACCTTTCTTCCCTAGTGCCAGCTGCAGTGGCCCACACGCAGACCCTGATTGATGCTCAGCGATTCTTGGAGGCGTATGCGAGCCTACGGGAACTAGAACAGCTGCAAGAGGAGGCATGGGTACCCCTAGGAGGGCTGGAGTTGCCAATATTCCAGGGACTGGGCCTCCTGGCTGAGGCGCTGTGCCAAGCTGTGGAGGCAGCTGTCGGGGCTGCAGGGCGACTAGCCCGGGAAGATCCAGCCCTGCTGGTAGCTGCTGTTCGTGTGGCAGAGGCAGAGACTGAGCGTACAATCCTGGGGCAGGCTCCCCGAGACTGGCGGCAGCGATGTCTTCGGGCGCTACAGGAGGGCCTGCAACGGGCCCACTTCGCATCACCTGCGCTGCCTGAGCCAGGGGCCCTAGCAGGGTGGCTCGAGGCGCTGCAGGTAGCTCTGCCTGCTGAGCTGGCCACAGCTGAGGCCCTAGTGGCGCCCTGCTGCCCACCAAACTACAATGTGGTTCAGCTCTGGGCCCACACCCTGCACAGTGGCCTGCGCCGCAGTGTGCAGCAGCTCCTCTCAGGGCCTGAACTGGGAGCTGCCGACACGTTTGCCTTACTGCACTGGGCATTGCATGTGTATATGGGGTGAGTGTTCTTGGAGGTGTGGTAAGAGGGAAGACTAGAGGCTCCCCATGACATCCTGCTATCCATCCCTAGGAAGGAAATGATGGGGAACTTGGAACTGGGGCCTGAGGCCGATGTGTCCCAGCTACAGCCCCTCCTGACCTCGGAGAACATCGAGCAGCTGGAGACAGCATTTGTGGCCCACGTCCAGGTGACTCCTTAGGGCAGAGGACAGAGGTGCACTGCCCATCGCTGTGACCACTGTCTCGTTCGTTGAACGTCTTGTCGATACCCTGATAGGTCTTGATGCTCGCTGTCCTCTCTTCCCAGGTAAGTGTGGCTCAGTGGCTGCAGAAGGCACTAGATGGAGAGGTAGCTGAGTGGAGCAGGCAGCAGGAGCCCAACACAGACCCGTCTGGTTTCTACCATTCACCAATGCCAGCCATTGTAATGCAGGTGGGTGGGAAGTACCCAAGGCAAGTGGGCAGCTCCCACAATGAAAGGGAGGTGGGCAGGTCTAGGGAATTTCTAAAGGCTGCCCTTCCCTGCCTGTAGATCCTGGCTGAGAACATTCAAGTGACCAGCCTGATCAGTGACTCACTGCATCGGCGGGTGCATGACATGGCACTGTCAGAACTGGGCGTGTTCTTGAGGAGGTTTGCCAAGCAGGGACCCATTCACAATACCCAGCAGCCAAAGGGCTCTGAGTGAATAGGGGAACCCGACACCAGTGGGGAAAGGGTTCCTTTAAACAAGGACTTGAAAGTGGGGCTGCAGTTGTGGGGTTGCCTGAGCAGCAGCAAACCCAGGGGTCCCCTCTGCCCACTACAGCTTCAGCGATGCTCTGATCCGCTTCTCTCAGGACCATCTCAGGGGAGAAGCCCCTCACTATGTGCCCTACCTGCTGGCTGCCTTCAACCACCAGTCAGCACTGAGGTACTACATTTGCACTAACATTCTTCCGAGTGCCTCAAACACACGGATGCCACCCATGTTTGACCCACTTTGGGCCCACAAAGGTGGGGTTCTAATCCCGGCTCTGATACTAGTTGTACCACAATGCATCTGTCATTTTTCTTATTAGTATTACTTGGGTAACAGTAGAATAGTCTGAGATAATAAATAAAGATGTGACTATTTATATTCTTTTAGCAAATATTTATCAAGACTTTACTCTATATCAGATAATGTCTGAAGTTCTGAAGTTACAGCTATGAATTAGAAAATTTTCCCCACGCTCCTCCTGCTTTGAGACAAGAGTTTCACCCTGTGGTCCAGGCTGTGGTAGCAATCTTCCTTCCTCAGCCTCCGCCAGGCCTGGCTATCTTCTTGAGTATTATGCCCTCTGTAGTAGGCACAAGGACAGATATACAAGCAGATGCTTTTTTTTTTTTTTTTTTTTTTTTGCGCCTGTGCTGGAACTAGCTCTTGTAGACCAGGCTGGTCTCAAACTCACAAAGATCTGCCTGCCTCTGTCTCCCGAGTGCTGGGACTAAAGGTGTGCGCCACCACCGCCCGGCTAAACGGATGCTTTTTACTCCCTCTTGTCTAAAATTAGCTCCCCTCCCTTACCGAGGAGGAAACAAAGAAACAGAAAGAGTGACTTAACTCTAGATTACTTTAGCGGCAAGTCCTCTGGGCACGCCTTCCTAACCTTTCAGAACACCGGAGACCATCACAAACTCAGAGCCACCCTTCCCGACCCCGCCCCCACCACACACTGTGCACCACAAGGTGGCGCCAGAACGGACGAATCCTTGAGGGCCACTTGAGCCTTAGCCTTGGCCTTGGTCCTGAAGTCGTACTTTTGGTTGGGCCAGCTCTTCGTTATCCGTCCTGCTGCCGGACGGGGAAACTTCAGGGGTCTTGGCTCCAATACAAGCCGCGCTGGACGACGTACAGAAGAGGATCTGCCGCCTGGTATTGGAAGCACTGCAGGGTGAGCTCCAGGTGAGGCTTCCATTCCAGCCAGAATGGGAGTGGGAGGGAGAAACACGGTATATTTATGGAGGTCGCTGCGGGATCTGGATCATTACTCTAGCCTGTCTCTGCCATGCTTTCCCTAGCCCCTGTTCGCATCTCTACCCTCGCGCCGGTGGCTGCTGAGTTCTGAGCTGCTGGACGGTGTGTGTGAACAGACGTCGCACTTCTGCCAGGATTTCTGGCGTGTACGGAAGCCTGCTGTTCAGGTGGAGCAGGGAGAGAAAGGCTGGGGAAGGGGCGCTGCTGATGGCAATCTGTACTCAAACTGGCTACCTGTTCTGCAGCTGCTGCTGGCGGAGGCGGAACGAACCGTGGTGTTGCAATACCTGCGCGCGCTGATGCAGGGCCGCCTAGTGTGCCGCGGTGCTGACGAGCGGACCCAGGCGGCTGAGCGTCTTGGGCACGATGCTGCCCAGCTTAAGGAGCTTTTCCTGGGTTTGGTGAGAGTTCGTTGGGAGGGCAGACAGTCTACAGACTACAGAGAATCTCAGTAGACGGGTGGGAGCCGAGGGCCCGCTGGAAACCCTGCCCCAATGTGTTCAGGGCCTAGAGGAGAGCACTCACTGCGCGCCGGTGCTGCTCGCGCTGCGGGAACTGTTCAGCCTCCACGACCCCACGCTGCTCGGCCTCGAGGTGGCAGGCCTGAGGCAAAAATTTCCCGACGTGAGGTGCGGGGAGGGGGACAGGGGAGGAGGGAGGAGCCCGGCAGGGCAAGGGCGGGGCTGACACGCGTGGTGGTTGTTCCTGCAGCGAGGACCATGTCTCCGCCCTCTTGGACCTGCGTGGGGACGTGTCCCGAGAGCATCGCCAGGCAGCACTCAGCTCTCTGCAGGCCGGCCCACCGCCCTCACCTTCCTCTGGCCGCCGTGCCCTCTTCAGCCTCGTACCGACGCCTACGCCCTCACTGTCCTCCTGCCTCCCCTCGGGTCCCTGCTCCTGACCCATCTGTCTGCGTAATAAAGCCACGTCCACCGCGCGTCTGAATCTATATGTTGGGGCACGCGGGTGTTGAAATCAGCGCTGAAATTAGGGGTCCATGCCCAGTGATTACTTCTAATCCTGGTTGCAGTCTTAGTATTCCCGTAACATCTCGCCTATGCAGACATTTGCTCTCTATGTGAATTGCGTCCCCCGAACCCTGGGCTCCCGCGGAGTCCTCAGTACCCACGTATCCACCCGCCTGCAATAAGTGTCTTCACCGCTTTCGCCCGTTGCTTTAGAAGCCGGGAAACTTGTGGAGGGGGAGGTTTAGGACGACTCCCCGCCCAGGGGCGTGGCGTGGCCGTGATCCCGCCCTCTTCGCAGGCCTGGCCCCGCCCATAGTGGGCTTCAGTTCGCGCTACCGCGGAGACTGGCGCGGAGACTGCGCATCTTCGTGTGAGCGTGCGCGTGCCCGAGTGCGTGCGTCTTTGGCTCCAGCTCCCAGAGTCTCGGAGGCCCGCGATCGACTTTGAAGAGCAGGACTTGCGGACAGCAAAAGAGGCGCGAGCAGGTGGGGACGCGGCACGCGAACCGAACCCGCATCCCACTCCAAAGACCGAGACTAAGCATGCGACCTGACCCCTCTTGATTTACCGGAGAATTCCCCCACTCCATTGTCTTCTAGCCCCGCCCTCCATTGGGCACGCCCTTCACCCTGTCCCACGCCCCTATTGGCCTCCAGGGCACGCCCCCCCCGCATCTCTCAGTTTCCATTGGCTCTTCTCCAATGGAGGGTTCTTATTGGTGTGGGCCACACCCTCTCATTTGTCACCAGACCCCGCCTTTCAGGGTCTCCTTCCTCACTTTGTCTTTATTCATTCTGCCTCTAGTGAGTGCTTGGGACTAGAGGGTAAATCAGACCCTCCCTGACCTCGGGGAGTTCAGGGCATGGTGGGGAACATGAACCTAGCCTCCAACAGTGACAGCCTAGGGCTGTCAAGAAGCCTTCAGGACCCTGGGACTCTCTCTTTGCACATCGGGAGGGCTTTCCAGAGAAAGTGAGGCCTAAACCGAGCCCTGAAAAATGGTTAAGAGGGTACTCCAGGGACACGTTGGCCAAAGAATTCTTGGCGGAAGAACTTGAGACGCGAAAGAAACAGGTGCATTCTGGTAAATACGAGGAGGTGGGTTGGAATGAACGAAGGGAATAGATGAACTGGCCCAGGCAGTGGTCAATAGATGTCCAGGAAAGTGTACACTTTGAGGGCAAAGAAGGTCTAAGATTTGAAGGCCTTTTTTCACGCGGCAAGGTTGGAGGAGGGCTCCAAGGAGGAAGATCAAGTCTAGATGTGGAATCTAAGTTTGGGGAAGGAATGATTCTAGTTCGTTAGTTCGTTCTTTCTTTCTTCCTTCCTTCCTTCCTTCCTTCCTTCCTTCCTTCCTTCCTTCCTTCCTTCCTTCCTTCCTTCTTTCTTTCTTTCTTTCTTTCTTTCTTTCTTTCTGGTTTGTTTTGATTTTTTATTTCTTTATGGGTATGTGCATGTGCCTGTAGAGGCCAGAAGAGGGCGTTGAGCCCTCTTCCCCTGGAGTTATAGGTAGTTGTGAGCTGTCCAACAAGGATGCTAGGAACTGGGTTTGGGTCCTCTGGGAGAGCAGCAAGTGCTCTTAATTGTTGAGCCATCACTCCAGCCCTCTGACTTCAGTTCTTAAGAGGACTCGGGTCCACCCATTTATTGATTGCAATGCTGGATCAGGAACTACTCTGGGTTTTGGAAACACAGCTGCAAATCCTGGAAAGGGGAAAGCAGATAAAATCACCAGATATACCATACAAATATAAAGTTAACTGTTACACTTTAGATGGCAAAAACTGCTACAGAAACAACATGTATTGCTATGTAGCCCAGACTGTCCAGGAATTCACAGTTCTCCTGTTTCAGCCTCAGGAGTGCTGGGATTACAGACCTGTATCACTACATCTGACAGAGGGCAGCTTTGTTTATTTATTTATTTTTAAAATATGAGTTCTCTGCATGTATACTTGCACACTAGAAGAGGGCACTAGATCTCATTCTAGATGGTTGTGAGCTACCATGTGGGTGCTGGGAATTGAACTCAGGACCTCTGGAAAGAGCACTCAGTGCTTTTAACCACTGAACATCTCTCCAGTCCCTAAATCTTTTATTAAACCATATGCGGGGTGATGGTGGTGAATGCCTTGCCTTTAATCCCAGCATTCAGGAGGCAGAGGCATGTAGTTCTCCAAGTTCGAGGCCAGCCTGGTCTACATAGTGAGTTCCAATAAAGCCAGGACTACATCCACACACACCCACACACACGTACACGCACGCACGCACACACGTACATGCACACACGCATGCACACGCACACACACACTCACACAAACAAAACAAAAACAAAAAACCCAAAACATTTTCATGTATTTTGATCATGTTTTTATCTTCCCCCAACTCCTCCCAGACCCTCTCCACTTTCCTACGCGCTCAGCACACTGAACTTCTTGTTCTCTCTCTCTCTCTCTCTCTGGTTGTGTGTGTGTGTGTGTGTAGCATTTTTCTAATATATTTATGCAGTTTTTAGGAAACTGAGACAGTAACTCAAGCTATTCTCTGTGGGACAGTGACCCATGCTATTATATATGGGGTAGTGCCTTTTCACACAATGGGCTCATTCAACTTTAGTTACCTGATAAATATTAAAGATATCTTGAAGGTCAGGTATGTTGTCTTAATCCTGAGCCAGGACTAGAGAGGTTGAAACAGGAAGATTGCGAGTTGAAGATCAGCGTGATCTACACAGGGAGACGCTGTCTTAAAAATAGATAGGTATTGAAAGTAGCTGCAGTGATCTAACGTTCATGGAAGGAGGCTGAACTGACGTATTTAAGACTGTGGTAGTGAGGACTAGGGATAAAATATAGAAAGAACAATTACACAACCTCAAACAGTTAATAATTTTTTTCCAGAGCCAAAGTTGTCACAGGTAGCAAATATTGAGGGTTTGCAAGTCATTCAATGTCCTTTGCTTCTTCTCTTCCCTGCCTTTGAGGTGAGAAAGAAGGACCCTAGCTGTATTCTAATAAAATTGTGCATTAAAGCAAGTGGTGGGCTAGGTGTCACCTGTAGGCCATAACGTTCCCACCTCTGTCTCAGAGTTGTGCATACAGGCTAGTGAGACAGACTATACTTAGTATATACAAGGCTCTGGGCTTGATCCCCTTCATCAAAACAAAATAAAAAACAACAAAATTGGATGGGACCATTGGGTTCTAGGGCGTGAGTATACATGGAAAAGATAAGTCTGGGGATGTTACTGTGTTCAGAGGTTGGGAGATGGGGATAACTGACAAGAAGACCAAGAAGAAACAGCCAATGGCATGGGAGGAAAGATAGTTCTAGTGAATTCAGAAAGGGAAAGGGACATTATGTTCCCAGGATAGAGGATCCGCTGCACCAGGTCCTACAGAACAATATGATGATCATTAGTAACCTCACTCAGCTCGGTCTGATGGAGAACACACATACGCATGCTCCATGCGAGTGAACTTAGGAGAGGACAGGAAGGAAGAAATGGGAGACAGTGCGCGTGGCTCAGGGTATCGGGCTGTGTGGAAGAGCAGCTGGAGGGAGCTGTGTGTGGAGTCATGTAAGCATTTTGGTGTTTTTTTGTTTTTGTTTTTGGTTTGGTTTGGTTTTTGGTTTTTCGAGGCAGGGTTTCTCTGTAGCTTTGGAGCCTGTCCTGGAACTAGCTCTTGTAGACCAGGCTGGCCTCGAACTCACAAAGATCTGCCTGCCTCTGCCTCCCTTGTGCTGGGATTAAAGGCCTGTGCCACCACCACCCGGCCTTGTTTTGTTTTTTAAGATGGAGGAATAACAGCATGTATTTATGCTGATGGAACTAATCCAGTGGAGAGGAAGACTGGTGGTGTACATCAAGGAGAAATTGAGTCCCTGAGCAGGCAAGGGAGTTGAGAGGCTGAAGTCCTCAGTCAGTCCCTGGGGAGAGACTGGATTGCACTGAGCTCTGGCACAGAGTCAGCGGTGAGTTCTCGTGCCTCGGATGACCATTGGGAAGATGCCTCAGATGGGAGACAGGCCAGGGGCTAATTTGAATGTACCAGTGTTTCTCTGATTCCCAAAAGCAGCTTCTAATCCAGTTCTGAATAGATGACCACCAGGAGAGACAGTATTTCATGTGGGGACAGGTGCACTCATTCAAACTGATTACAGGTGGGCAGGAGGATATAGATGGAGCTGGGTGAAGGGGACAAAATGGAACCAAGAAGATGCTACCTGTGCAAAAAGCAGTCTGTGGGCTTCCTTCACCTATGGTCCATCTAGGGATCTGAGGCTGCATTCTGCCAACTCCCAGGCTGGGTAAGTGCTGAGCACTGAGATTAGAATCATGTTTAGGGTCTTAGTTTTAGCTCTAGATCTAACCACCTAAGAATATTTTAGTAAGTAGGAAAATGTATAAAATTCTTCCTCTTGCTTCCACCTCAGATGATTTGGGTAAACCTGGTGAAAGGAATGGACGCTGGGGAGGGTGGACAGTTTCTCAGGTTCCTGGCAGCCGACCCTGGATCCAACAAGGCTAATGGGGACACAGGGCTCTCTCCTCTGCCCACATTCACTCATGGCGGTCTCTGCATGCCCTTCTGTGTCTCTAGAGGTCAACAGTGTGGGAATTTGGAACAACTGAGCTGGATGAAACTCTCAGGACAGAATGGTGCTGGATTCAGGGACTCAGGTGTATGAGCGTGCACCCCCCAGCCCACCTGCCTGTCCCCCATCTCAGCGCCCTAGGTTGAAGCCCTCAAATCGAAATGGGCCACCCCTGTACCCCTGGCCGCAGTCCCTGTCTATGCCTTTGGCCCTGGCAGTCCCCTCAGCATTACAGTCCCAGCCTATGTGGCAGACCTTCTCAAAGCTGCAGTTGGGACAACGCAGCCACATGCGTCGCAGTGAGAGCACCTACAGTGTAAATAGCACTGGCCAGCGGGGGCGAGGCAAAGCTCCGCTTGGACGGGGATGTGACCCAGGTGGAGGGACCCTACGGCCTGCAGCCTCCTTGCCTCACATTGCTAAGACTCGAAAGGATGTGGGCAATGGTAGCAACAAGAGCCCCTGCATGTTAGTGGCCCTGCGGCCAACCAACATGGACCAGGAACGGGAGAAATTCTTCCAGTCCCATTACACGTACAATCCGCAGTTCGAGTACCAGGAGCCTATGCCAATGAGTGTGCTGGAGAAGTACCAGGAGGCCTCTGGACAGTTCATCCAACAGGTCAGTCCAGCCTGCCCATTTCACCCTGACCCTGACTGCCCGAGGGACCTAGCCTGACGAGTGACTGTGGCCCTGTGTACAGGCAGTTGGCATCATTGAGGCGGTCCTGGAGAAGTTTGGCACTTATGAACACTTTGAGGCTGCCACAGGGGGCCAGCTGCTGACCAAGTGCCAAATTTGGTCCATTGTGCGAAAATACATGCAGAAGGAGGGCTGCGTTGGGGAGGTAAGTTTGCCCTATCTACAGGACCCATCTCTATGCCCCAAATCAGGCCATCAGCTGATAGGCTCAGCTATACACCTGGCCAGATGTAATTCCTAGACATATCCCAACCCTAGCCCCAGATAAGTAAGAGCTGGATTTGAAGGGTGGGTGTCCTGGTCAGTGTCTGACCTGGCTGCCTTGTAGCATCATGGGCGTATCTGCCCACTAGCTCTCAGGGCTTGTAAACCATGGCTCAGAGCCCTGCCACCCTACAGGTTGTGGTGCAGCTGAGTGAGGACCTGTTGTCCCAGGCAGTCATGATGGTGGAGAACAGCCGACCCACATTGGCCATCAACTTGACCGGAGCCCGCCAGTATTGGCTGGAGGGCATGTTGCGGCACGAGATAGGTCAGTCTGCGGGTAGCATTGGTGTGGGTGGGCAGGATTGAAAGGCACTAAGAGATGGTAACAGGGCAGTATGGGGCTTCATTAGCCTCCTCTTTTCTCCCCCCTTCCTTCCCTCTGGGAGAAGACAGGCCTGTTTATCCCTAAGCAGATACTTCTTCCTTCTCGTTCGTACAAGTAGGTCAGACTTGCCTGCCCACCCTCTGGGTTGACCTTCATGCTTCTTCCCTTGGGTATCTCTCCAATTCCTCTCTGACTCCCTTTGACAGTGAAGGAAGACTTCTGAGGTCCTATCAGGCCGGAAAGAATTCTAAGGGTTCCTTCCATCAGACCAGCTAACTAACATACAGGCCCACCAGGGTGGGTGGCAGGCCAGATCCTAGGAATAGAACTGCTTGAAAAAGACACATGGATAAAAGTTTAGGAGATCAGGCTAGGAAGGCGAGCACAGGACAATAGTCACTCACCAGACAAGAATCATGTTGTTCTGGGCAAGAAATGATTTTGATTGGGGCATTTGCATGACTGTTGAGATGATTGGCATGGGCACTAGGATGTTGGGGCGGGGTGCCATGTGCTTGGTCTCTAGGAGGGCTTGCACACAATATGAGTTGGTGTGCAGGAGATGAGAAACTAGGCAGAGAGGATTCTGTGCTGGACCAAAAGTCTTTTTGTTGCCGGAGCTGGGTGAGAATGCATTTAGGTAGGGCTTGGGATGACTTGCATGGGGTGAATTTGGGGGCATGAAGATCTATGAGTCTCTACCAGAGGTCCTTGGAGTGCGTTCAGCAGCCACCCCGTCCTCCCTGCAGGCACCCACTACCTGCGCGGTGTGAACAATGCACGGCAACCGTGGCACAGCACCGAAGGCAGACTGCAGTACGGGCTGCGGCCAGCTAACCCCACCGAGGAGGGCCTGGCCAGCCTGCACAGTGTGCTGTTCCGAAAGCAGCCGTTCCTGTGGCGTGCGGCCCTGCTCTACTACACCATTCACCAGGCTGCACACATGTCCTTCCGCCAGCTCTTCCAGGATCTGGCGCAGTATGTGCAGGACGAGGCTGTACGTTGGGAGTACTGCGTCCGGGCCAAGCGAGGACAGATGGATACCTCCCAGCCAGGTAGGGGCTGTGGGGTCAGGGGAAGACCCAGGCTGGTGCAAAACGAAGAGTGGCTTTGGGGTAAGGACTGATCCTCATTCTCACAGGCTGCTTCAGCAAGGACCAAGTGTACCTGGATGGCATTGTACGCATCCTGCGGCACCGTCAGACCATCGATTTCCCACTGCTGACCTCGCTGGGCAAGGTAAGGGGCTGTGGGCTTACAGAGGCCCCAGCCAGTTCTTCCTTCCTCCCTGTACCTCTGAGTCATGTTCAGTGGAGGCCTGGATACCAGCCTCTCCAGGGGTAGGAACTTGGGTGGAGGTAGTAAGCAGGCAAGAAGAAATGGAACTTTGATGTCCCAGGTGAGGCATGTGACCCTACCTGCAGATGTGTGCATATATTTCAAAGGAGGTGAGTGTTCCAGGACGAGGGATCAGTCAGGAAGTTCTGGGGAAGGAGACCAGTGAAATGTCCATGGACCGAAACCCAAGCCCTGAGTATCTGTTCTAGACTGAGGAGAGCAAACCTCATCAGAAGCAAAGGGGAGCTGGAGGGGCTAGAATCAAGTGTGGCACAGCTTTGCTTTAGGAGGCCCCTACTGGATGTCATGTGGGGAGCGCACAGAAGAGAAAGGCCTAGATAGGCAAGAGGAGGCGGCCTGCCATCACTCTTACAGAACTGATAACGGTTTGACCCAGCCAGGCAGTAGCATGGTTGCAAAGGAATAAACTGCAGATAAAGGTAGTAGGACTCTTTATCTGCTTGAGTCCCTGAATGGGAAGATGAGCACCCAGCTTCCCCTTCTTGGGCCTGGCTGTGGTGACTGTGAAGAGGTGGGACTGACAGCTGACATGCAGCCGTCTCTTGCTGGTTGTGGGAGCTACCTGAGAGATGCCCAGGTATCAGCTGAACACTGTTTAGAGGTGAGGGGGTAAGCTGGGCTGGAGGGGAATGGGTTGTAGAACATAGATGGAAGATGTAGAGAGAAAGAGAAAAGACCCAGGCCTGAACCTGAAGGTACCTATTGGACAAGACCAGGAATAGAGGAGCTATCAGAGGAGCCAGTTGCCCTGAGCTATCAGTCTGGGACTAGGTGCTTGAAAGCCAGGGGCTCTGAGTCTTAGTTTTCTCCCTATAGGTCTCCTATGAAGATGTGGACCAACTGAAGCCCCATGGAATATTAGATAATACCCGAGTACCCCACTTTATGAAGGACTTGACACGCTACCGGCAGCAGCTGGAACACATCATGGCTACCAACCGGCTGGATGAAGAAGAGCTGGGCCGCCTGCTGCCTGACTGATGTTGGTTAAGGGTTACAGACAGAAGATCTTGACAGAGGTCTCAGATCAAGAATATGAAGCTCTTTATGGTTCCATAGCCTAGGTGTTTCTTGCGGGGCACTGGGAGGCCAGGAGCATCTTGGGAAGACGAGAGGCAACGTTGGAAGGCTTTTGTCCTTGCTAGTCTTCCTGGGGCCTGTGAGCTAGCAGCAGCATGTCTCGTAAACTCCTGAGTAGGAGAGACCTGGGGATAGGAGGGGCATTGAGTGTGACTAGGAATGGGGGTTGGTTTGGGAATAGAAACGTGTTCCTGCATGAGACGGCTTTGGGTGTCTGGTACCGGTCTTTCCCTTCCCCTACCTGGCCTATCGGTGCTCTTCTGCATTCATACTGTCTACCTCTCACTGGGTCTAGTGGCAGTTGGGACCCCTCTGAGGTGACATGCCCGAGCATAGGGTCCTGCCTTTCACTCAGGCTCAGAGACCCAGCTGGGCTGGAGCTTGCGTTTCAGCATTTTGTCTCTCTCACCAGTCATGTATTATTCCTTATTTGCCTCCATGCCACCGTGTGTTATTCATGCCCCCAGCTGGGGCTGGGGGGGGGGGCAGCAGCTCCTAAAGTTCAGTGGAGGGGACAGGGTACTTTGAAAAGGTACCATCTGTTCCCAGGCCCTCGCTCATCACACACAGACACACTGGACGTCAGGTCTTGTGAGTCCAGCACCTGGCCCCACCATCAGCCTCCCACGCTAGTCCCGGTGGTGCCTGTCTCTGACCACACCCTCACAGCTGGTCTCTGGCAGTGGTTGGTCCAGGCTGGGGACAGCCACAGTCAAACCTGCAGGTCAGGCCTATAGGATTTGTCCTCTCCAGTTTTGAGCCGGTCTTATGCCAGGGGAAGGACAGGGCTGATTAATGCCTCCGTTTTCACTTCAGATTCAGCTGCCGAGAGACTGAGCCAATGTCGTCCCTACCCTGGCCTTTTCTTTTCTCATCTGTGATGCTGGGAAGTTCTTGTTTATTGACTTAATAGATATGTACAGAGCTCCTTGTGTACGTCTGTAACTGGTTAGACCCTCGCTGAGCTCTCCGACAGAGGAAAGCCAGATAATTACACAGCAGCTACAATGACAGGTGTGGCTTCTGTCTCAACTTAAGTTTCTTCTCATGTTCCCCCCTTCAAGAGTGTGAGCTCCACAACTTCCCTCATCAAGTGGGGGTTGCAACCCCCCTTCCTTTGCTCAGTATGCCAAGCCTAGTGATTTCCACGGAGTAGAACAGTTGCCAACGCAGGCTCCTCACTGGCTCCTGAAGGGAAAGAGAGCAGTGGGGTGGGGGCCAGATTCCATTAGGGGCCTGGGTCTGAGACCTCCAGAAATAGAGTTTGGACTATTTCAGGGGTGGAATGTGCTTGTGGCGGTGGGGGTGTTTCACACAAAGCTGCTCAGGTCAGTGGGACTCCAACCCACAACACCCTCCTGAGCAGAGCCAGACTTGTGGAGAGTCAGGACCAGGTTAACCCTCCCAAGTTTATTCATTTTACGGTAAATGGAGTCTTGGTGAATTGATTGGGTCAAGCTCTGGCAGGTTCCCAGGTCTTACCCAGCTTGGGTAGGATTTGTACAGGTCAGGATTCTGGCCTTCAGGAATCTAGAGACGGAGAGGATCATGGTGAGTGGAATGTGTATCAACCCTCACACAACCTCTAACAAGCCTGTAAACAAGGGTTTAGGCTGTCTCACAACCTTCAGACTCGTCCTCTTGGAAGTCAGACTCGGGTTCGGGCTCGGGCTCGGGTTCGGGTTCCGGCTCGGGTTCCGGCTCGGGCTCCGGCTCGGGCTCCGGCTCGGGCTCTAGTTCAGGCTCTGGTTCTACCTCTGGCTCTGGCTCCGGTTCCATTTGTTGTTCTAGGTCCGGCTCATCCCCTTCAGAGGCTTCGGCGTCTAGTTCTGGCTCCTCTGGAGTTACAGACTGCACTGCCTCAGAACCCTCAGGACCTCCGACCTCCTCTTGCTCTGAAGCTCTGGGCAGCCCAGGACATGTGGTCCCTGAACTGGGTACCTCGGGCGTCCAGTGGCCCGAGCATGAAGGGTCATGGCTGCGGTCTCGGTAGCCTGGGGAGGAAGTGGAATATTTGAGACTCAATTCACCCCTCTGTGGTTAGCTACCTCCACATTCTCTGCCCTCTACTTAGCCTTAGTTTTGCCTCACCCCCCAAGTCACGCCCCCATCTCAACAAGGCTCCACCCTCCTGGTGCTCACCAGGCCCCACGTGCTGCCAATCCCAGGCGGGGTCTGGCACACGCACGGTATGCTGGGCACAGCGCAGTAGCTCCTGGCAGGCTGCCTCGCCCTTGCTCTGCACCAACAGCAGCAGGCGGCGCACCCTGCGTTCTGCATCAGGCAGCGCATCCAAGGCTTCATACTCAGGCCCGGTGAGCACACCACGGGCCACCAGCGCGTCCAGCAGCAGCCCAGAGTCAGCCTGCAAGGTATCTACCAGCCGTTTCCGTTCCCGGTCAATGATCTCCGATGGCCGTTCCTGCACGTTGCCCATGTTTGGGCTATATCAAGAGGAAGAAAAATGTGGGGGGGGGGGGCTGGCGTTCCCACACACTGACCTCTCCCAGGAGTGATCTAAGTTCACCTCGACATCGGAGTCTGGATGGTTTTTCAGCGGTGGACCTGGAGGCCAGGAGCACAGAACTCACCCTCCAGCCTCTTGGTTGCTTTTGTCCGGACTCCTCAGGTTCCTCTTCTAGTGTCTACCTATCAGCGGAGTGCTTGCTCTAGCTAGGACTTCCCTCCTAAGCCCCAGCCACCTGCCGAGCTGGCCACCAGTCGAGATCCAGTTTATCCAACTGAGTTATTTTTTTCTAAACCCAATTCCTTACCTAAACTGGCAGAAAACCTAAGGACTGATCCACACCTCCTTCCTGAACCCTGCAGCAAGCTTTGGATCAGGGCAGTCCGCCTGATCTCTCAAACAGTCTGGTCTGCATTCAAAGCCTAAAGTGCTGAGGCTGGCATGCTCAATTCCCCTAACTCTGAGGTCCAGGCATAACAGAACCTCCCTCCTTCACTCCCCACCACACTGCTTCATGATCTGTGACTCCTGCTGGTTCCTTACTGTCCCAGCAGCAGAACTACTGAGTTTTCCTGAATTTTGACAGACATTCTGGCACGTTTTCCTGATGACCTGGCAGAGGCTCACAGCCATCTCTTACTTGACCTTGAGATTCCCAAGGTCCAGCTCTGAAAAGCCCTTAAGGAATGCTTACCAAACTTTTAGCTTATTATTTATTTATTTATTTATTTATTTATTGAGAGGTTGCCTCTACCAAACTGTAGGACCTGGGAGCAAATTAAATCTACTCTGTTCTTCCATTATCAACTAAGGACGACTGCCCACTTGGGTTGGGCGTCCTGACCCAGCCAGGAAGGGTCCTGACATTACGGAAAACGGAAATCTGGGGCTGGAGAGATGGCTCAGTGGTTAAGAGCAGTGGCTGTTCTTCCAGAGGTCCTGAGTTCATATTCCTAGCACCCACATGACTGCTCACAACTGTCTGTAACTCCAGTTCCAGAGTATCTGGCACCCTCACACAGACATGTATGCAGGCAAAACACCAATGCACATAAAAAATAAAAATAAATAAACCATTAAAAATAATTATTGTAGAATATAAAAAAATTAAAAAAGGAAATCTGGTCATTCCTTTTACCTTAGCTTTGTTCAAACAGCATTCTTCTAGGTCTCTTCTGCCCTAAATGCCCTGTTCCACCTTCTTTCCTAGATCCTAGGATCCTTACCCCCACCCCCACATAAACACCATGCCTCCCAGGTCTCAGAGCTCCCACACTAGACTGTTCCTGGTCACTTCACTCCTTGGGTCTCCCTCCATACCTCCTGTCAGCTCTTCCCCAAGGCCACCAAGCACAGACCAGGGACATTTGTTCCCACTCTGCCCCTTCTTGTCCTGAGTCAGAGGCCCAACAATCACCCTGCACCTGCTCCTGCCCCCTAAGCCCACCATCAGCCGTCTGCGTCCTGGTACAATGCATGCCTCTGAGTACCTCACTCGTGCCCACTCCCTCCTCCCCTCACTCCAACGTAGTGACTTTGACAACTCTGGGCTAGCATTTATTGTTCCAGTTTTCTGGATGAAGAGACAGGCTCAGAGAAACCCAGCACAACTGGGATCCAACTTGCCCTACCTTAAACTATAATGTCTCTTGCCTCATTGAATGCCAGGTCTTGTATCCTATCTTCCACCCTCATTTTACCCATCAAAGAATCTAAGCTGCCTGGTCTGGCTGTTTTATTAACTCCCTCCCACCACCCTGGTCAGCCAGGGTTTTTTTTTTGTTTTGTTTTGTTTTGTTTTGTTTTTGTCATTTTCAACCATCATTCAGTCCTGCAAGAACTAACTATGGTCCTGGCACCTTAGCTTTTGCCGATGCTGTTCCCTAGGCTTGGGATTCTCTTCTCTCCCCTTTACTCTATGGGTCTTGTTCTCAAGACTCAAATGCTCCCAGGTCTACCCCAATTCTCAAGAGTTCAAAGGTAGCTAACTCCTTTTGGGTACTACGGTCCTCATTACTGCGTTTCTTGGGATCTCTAAGCTATATGCTCAGGACCTCTGCTCTCAGGGAGGCTTCCAAAGGCTGTCTCCCATCACTGGTTACAGGGAAGGGAGTGAGGCCTGCACCTACTCTGGCGCACGCTCTCTTTCCCCTTTGTTTCTTTTGAGACGGTTTTTTTTTCTGTTGTAGCCCTGGCTATCCTCGAACTCGCTCTGTAGACCAAGTTTGCCTGGAACTCAGTGATCTGCCTGCCTCTGCCTTCTGAAGCGCCACTGCCACCATCACCGGCTAGACCCCTAGCTGATTGGGGCCTCTAAGGAAAATGCTAGTTATGTCCTGGCCAGTGCATCAAAGGACAAGCCTAAATGTTACCTCGAGACCCATCCTAATGTTATCTTGAGCCCCAGGTCTGGTCTGGGATACCTAGCTTGCTGGCTGGCTGGGATTTGTTGTTGGAAAACCAGGGTGGAACCTGCAGGAGCCAGTCGCGCATGCGCAACCGCAAGGGTACCCTCACCAGCCCTCTACCCATTCTCAAAGCTTCGATCCTGCGGAAGGGCGGGGCCCACAGACCTTGGAGCTCCGCTGCTGGTGGTGGTGAGGCTCGCGGTTCAGCCCAATCTGTTTTCCTTTCCCTCCCTGCTGGGTGGAGTCCGGTTTGTGGTACGGAGCGTTTCGGACGGCCCCACTCCGGAGTTGAGTCTCACCGGGGCAGATGACAGTGCAGAAAGGACCGAGCAAGCGGGGTGGGGACGTGAACAGCAGCTGCAAAGTGGGGCGGGGCGGGGCGGCCAGGGCTGCCGGGAATGGGGGAGGGAGGGGCGTGTTTCTCTGGCTCTGCGAACTCGGTCCTGGACGCGGAGGCCACGCACTGGCACGGGGGTGGGGGCACATAGTCCGTTCTCCTCCCCCGCCCCAGACCACCCAGATTTGAGTCAGGGGGGGTCAGTTCAGTTTACGGTCCCACGTGTCCAGCCCACTCTGGGCCTTCTAATTGCTAGGTGCTTTTAATTTGTCCTTCTACGACTCCTCCCTCCGCCTGTCACAGATAAGTTTAGAGAAGGGAACCGATTTGCCCAGAGTCAGAGACACGTGCATAGAGAAGCTGGATGTGGCGCAGAAACGCCTGCCTCCTGGAGGATACAGAGGCCGGCATCTCAGTGCAAGTGGGAGACTTCGGCACTGGCGCTCCAAGTACCGCCATTCTCGAGGAGGGGGCTTCATGAAAGTCTGAGTGTCAGGACGTTTCCAAGCATCTGGACACTTGTCTGCATCTGGACACTTGTCTGAATGCAAAGTCGTCATCCACCCATAAGTCTAGTGGTCTTTGGTTGACCGAAAAAAACGAGAGACCAGAAACAGAGTGGGGGAATGCAGTTTATATTGCAAGACTCACTGGGGTAGTGGAGAGAGGGTACCGCAAATGGGGGCTTCGTTCACTCCCCCCAGGGGACTCCAGGAAGCCTAAAGGGGTGTGCTGCTGCGTGCTGATTCCTTAGCCAGGCTTTTTCAGAGGGGTGGGAGTCTCAGGGGGAAGAAGGACTGGCTCCTGGGTCCAAGTAGGAGGCACTGCTTTCAGGAGCATTGTAAAGGGTTAAAGCCCCAGGCACTGACAGAGCTGTACCCTCCAAATCCACAGGGACATCCAGCAGGAGTGGGGTTCCCAGCGGGTGGTCTTTTCCTAGGAGGAGTAGGCTGTGGTTAGGAGAGTCCTCCTGCACTTAGGAGGTAACATTATCCATACAAATGCACCCTTTAAAGGCAGGGGCTTGCTACACATCCCAGGTTGGCCTTGAGCTCAAGATCTCCCTGAGTGCTGGGATTACAAAGTATGCACCACCATATAGCTTAAAGCATTACTCTTGACCTCACTCCTCTTACACAATGATGATGATAGTATGGGTGTCTCTAGAAGTCTCTACAGGGCAGCCTGAATTCAGGGTCATCCCTCCCCCGCCTAAGCCACCCACCCTGCCCAATCATGGTAATTCAGATTGTGGTGGCTTCTACCCAGGCCTCTCCACCATTACCTGCACCTGAAGAACTCAACTCCTTGACCGTCAGCTCAGCCACACCTCTCTCTTGAGCCAAGGGCTGCATCTGCGTGGGAGAATCCCAGGAAGCAACTGAGAAGGGAGCCCAGAAGTCGAGGAAGAGAGCTGGGGTCACTGGGGCAATCCTTCAGCCATGAACCAAACCAACCTTCAGCTTCTCCTTTCTTACCAGAGACAACTCCATGTCCAAATCCATCAGGGTCCATTCCCGTCCTTGAAGGCTAGGGCCCAGCACCTGGGAAGAGCTTGGGTAAGCGGTGCCTTCAAAGGCTGCACAGACAGCTCAACTTCGTGTGTCTCACGTCCTGCCCGGGCAAAGAGATACTCACATCCATGGGTGCTATGGGTTCCACAGTTTCAGGGGGAGGCCGAAGCAGCATTGGGGGCAGCAGACTCTCTGGGCTCCGATTACCCCGATCCATTCCCAGAGTTCCCCTGTGCACAAAGAACCACTTGCTATTGGTCAATGACATCCACCTCCTAAGGAACTTGCATCATCAGGTTTAAATTGCCCCAACAGCTAGAATTTGCTGAGAAACAATACTTTCCTTCAATCCCCTCCCTAATAAGAGAGATTTTTTTTCTTTTCTCTCTCTTTTTAAAATTTTTGTGGGCACGAGACAACATCTTGTTATGTAAGCCTGGCTGACTTGAGACTTACAGCAATCCTCTTGCCTCAGTGTTCTGGGTGCTAAAGGGGTAGCTTTGTTGTTGTCTGTCATAGGGTCTCATGTAGCTCAGGCCATCCTCAAACCTTTACTAGCTAAGTATGACCTTGAACTCTGGACCCTTTTGCCACCACCTCCTCCATAGTGCTGGCATTAATTACAACAGGGGTATATCACCATGCCCAGCTTCTGAAAGGTTGCCTTGCTCTGCCTTTGCTTCCTACCTAAGACCTGAGAGCCCTTCCTAGAGAAGTGTAAAGACTAGCAAAGGCTTTTGGTTTGGTTTTTGTTGTGTGCTCAAGTGTGTTCCAGTTGGAGTTTGAATTTCGAGCTTGAGCGTGTTAGGTACATACTCCACCACTGAGTTATGTCCGCAGCATTAACAGCTGTGGCTGTCCTGAAACTTGCTCTGTAGACCAGGTTGGTCTCAAATTCACAGAGATTCACCTGCCTCTGCCTCCTGAGTACTGGGATTAAAGGCGTGCACCACTACTGCCCAGCAGATTTATTTTTACGTATTATTACTGCTGGGTTTTATGTGTCATGGGGGTGGGGCATGTGCAGAGGTCAGGGAGCACAGTTGTGTAAAACATGGGTTTTAGGGGTTGAACTCAGGCAAGAGGCTTTTGTGGCAAGGGCTTCACCTGCTGAACCATCCCACCAAATCTTCCTTTTATATTTAGTCAGAGTCTCACTAAGTTACCAACAATGGTCTTGAGTTCACACTGTAGCCCAGGCAAGCCTTGAACTTGTGATACTCCTGCCTCCGTTTCCCAAGTTGACACCCCTGTGCCACTAAGACCAGCTTCCCTTGGTCGTTAGGCTTCTATGTTATAATCATGCCAGCGAACTAATTTCCTGTAAATCCTAGAGCCCTACTACTTGATTAGGGGTTCCCATTCTCTAAATAATTTTGATACTCTTTGGAGCATACCCTGAGAAATCAGGTCAGTCAGGGTCATGAAGGTCTGATGCCCAATGTCCCTCCTCGGCTACCACAGGACAGAGGAAGCAGTGGCTTTTGTTTGGCCAGTATCCGAGACTCTATCTATAAACCATCAACATTGGCTCTGCTCACCTGTCAGGTACCTCCCTGGGGCCCCTGGGTTCAGGCTGTTGTACACTCCTGGGCCCCTCAGGGCTGTAGCTCCCTTTCCCTTCCAGGATGGCCTGCACCACAGCCACAGGCAGCGGTGGGGGTGCTGTCACGCAGAAGTCACACTCGTTTGGGGCCAGGGCCAGCCCGGCCTCGCCATCCCCCCCTGGACTGGCCGGCTCTTCTTTGAGCAGTGCCAGGCCCTTCACCCTGCACCAGAGAAAAGCTTCAACCAGACCCTGACCCTGACCCCTCCCCACCCCCACGGGCCTCTGGGCTGTAGGCGCTTTCTGTAGGGTTCCCCACAAGGCTGGCCCTGTTCTCCTTACCTCCTGCCACCACTGGAGGGAGAAAGTCTGTGGCCTTCAGGAGATGGAGCATCTTCTGGGATGTCAGAGATGATGGGCCCTCTGGCCCTGTGAGGGCTGAGGCCCAGGGTAGTCTCTGGGAGAGGCTGCAAGTAGAAGGCTTGGCCAAGCTCTTGACCTCCAGCTATAGAAGAACCTAACCAGTGCCCACCTGAACCGGGATTAAGGGTCAGGGTTTGAAAATGAATCTAAAGCCTGGCGGTGATGGTGCACATCTTTAACCCCAGGACTCGGGAAGCAGAGGCAGGTGTATCTCTGTGAGTTCGAGGCCAGCCTGGTCTACAAGAGCTAGTTCCAGGACAGGCACCAAAACTACAGAGAAACCTTGTCTCAAAAAACAAAAAACAAAACAAACAAACAAAAATAGAATCTATGCTGGGGAACCTAGGTCTGGTTGGTGGAATGTTGGCATTCATCTTTGGGAGGCAGAAAGGGAGAAGAAACAGGCTCCTCACAATCCTCTCTGCACCCTAGGAAGAGGAAGAGGAGGAAACACCACCTACCGACTGGATAAAGTAGGGGTCCTGGAGAAGAGCACCAGAGACGGGGCAGGTATTGAATTTGGCAGAGGCCGAGCATGAGTTCCCCTCATCGAGCATCAGGGACCTGTGCGGGGTGGGCAGGTTAGGCCTCCACCATGCCTCTCTGCCTGAACCTCCCTCCCTCTCTGTCTCCCTCCCTCAGGCCCCAGCAGCCAAGTCAGCAGAGCTGAGGCCTGTTTCCAGGGCACCAGTCACATGCTGGAATGGAAGGGGCTCCCTGAGAGATGGGGGCCCTTTGGGGGTTGAGAGGGGAGGGAGAGAGCTTAGTTTGAGCCCCAAGCCAGGGGTGCCGACTTTGGGCGTAGGAATTTGAGGGTAAGGTCCTGGAATGGAAGCAGCGAGGGGATGTGAAGTGGAGGTGATGGTTAGTGGAGTTGCAGGTAAAAAGTAGGGGAGTCCTAGATCTGGAGGAATGAAGATTCCCGGTGGAGTGTCTGGAGTGGGGTCCCTGACAAGGAAGGGAGTCCTGGCGGCGGGAATGCGGTTGTGAACACTGCAGACTTCGGGACTCACAGCTTTCTCTTGGTTCCTGTGCTGCTGGGCGCTGTTTGAAGTGACCCAAACAGGCACTGGATTAGCTGAAAAGAAAGGGTTAATTCATACTTCAGGCCCCTCACTGTGGAAAGGCAATTTCTGGCGGGTCTGGGGAACAGGGGTGGAGGTATGGGGTGCCCAGGAGCGGGAGGGTAAGAGCTAGGAGAAGGGGAACACCTTGCCGATGACCCGGTGCTGCTGGCTGTGGCTCTGCTGTAGGGTCACCACTTCTCGCCACAAGATCTCGTTCTGCCTGGGAAGAGGGGTGGGGAGATGCTGAGGCATCCGAGTTTAATCGAACACCGTGCCCCACAGAATGGTGAGGTCACTAGCAGAAGGGACATCTGTCTTCCAAAACTAAACGTTACAGAGCTGAACCCATTGTCTGGATGAAGGCTCTAGCCTATAGGAGTGGAAGGCCCTGCCCAGAACCCCTAGGTGACCGGTATCCTGTCCCCCATAACTCCACCCTTCCTTCCCTGTCCCGCACTGCCTGAGTTCCTGCAGCCGTGCCTCCGTGCTCTCCTGCATCCCCCTCAAAGCTTGCACCTCTCCCAGCAGTCGGCCTAGGTCTTCAGGACGCCATCGACTGTCATCGCCTCGCAGCGCAGGTACCTGTAGGTAGGAGGCACCATCCCGGACAGGGACACATAAACCAGAGCCAAAAGTACCAACATTGGCCTTTTCCCATTTTTGCAATTTGTCCCACCTTGCGGCGCACGCGCTCCAGTAGCTGTTCCCGGCCTCGCACGAAGCTTGGATGCTGGAATTCAACGTGGTCACGCTCTGGCCTGAGAAGGCCACCTTGCTCAATGCTTACCACCTTCCGAAAACCATCTGGGGAATGGTGGGCGGGGAGGTGGGGGTGTGAGCGTGAGTCACTCCATCCTCTGCTCCAAGTAACCCCAACCCGCTTCCCGCCTGGTAGAGGGACTCACACATGTTGAGTTGGCGAACGAAGCTCGCCATGTTGCTGTGCTTGAAGTACTGAGGCAGTACTTCTTTGGCGAAGCGGCTCTGATCACTTACAAGGAAGCTGGTCCCACTCTGCCAAGAAGGAAAGGATGCCCACCGGGTGGAGACCAGACTAGGTGAGAGGCAGACACTCACAGCTGGACCACACTCACTTACTGGTTCAGGTTTGCACCTCACTGGGAGGTGGGACTTGACCAGGTCAAAGCCATATGAGGCCTACCCTGCCATAACCACAAATAATTCCTACCCCTAGCCAGATCCAGACTAGATTCTCAGAAAGAAAGAGCACATACCAACCCGGGGTCCACCTCAGACTGGTCTCAGACTCACTTTGTGACCCTGAAGTAAAGCCAGCCCTTCCCTTTTTTTGGCCTGTTTTCTCATCAGTAGACGAAGTAAAGTGAGAATTACCTAGGTCCCTTGGGCTCTAGGACCCTCGCTCCTCATGTATCTCACCTACCCTTTCACCGTGATCCACTCTGGACAGCTGAATCAAGGTACTCACAGCCCAGTCCCAGGTGGGGGCTGGGTAGACATGGGTGTTCACAGACATTGGACGGACCCCCGGGGACCATTGAGAGAGTTGAGGGGCCCCAGCCCTCACCGGGCTCCAGCGGATGAGGTGGTCTGTGCCTGGGTCGCCCACCAGTGCCCATAACTTGCCGAGGAAGGCAGGTACCGGACTGGGGCCTGGCTCCGTGGGCAGCGCAGCTGGCGCTTCCTGCATGGCGCAGTCTCGGCCGGGCTCAGCGTTCCAGCCCGGCCGCTGCGGGCTTGTCAAAGCCGCGAAAGTGCTGCGTTTGCCGCCCGCCCCGCCCTACTCCGCCCCTGGGCGCCGGGTCAGGCGGGGGCCGCGTGCGAACCCAAGGGGCGGGGCTCGGACAGCCGCCCGGTCACCAGTAAAGAGAAAGGGCTGGCTGAAACGTAGGTGTGTGTGGCGATGGTGGTGGGGGTAAGGAGGAGAACTCGGGTTCGAGTCTCATCCTTCTCAAGTCCCTCTCTTTCTGGGTTGATGGGGAGAAATCATCTGTGGGCTCAGAAAGTCCTAGAAGTTCATCTGTGGACGTAGTGAAGCCTAGGTAAGGGAGGGCAGATAGCCAGGGGGTGGGTTAAGCTGGTCCTTCCCTGTCTAGCGGACGCTAGGGAATTGATCATTCCTGGGGTATAGTGTGTACCGATGATCCCGACCTCCCACGGTCACAGAACAAAAGCCCCCGAGGTCCCCATTTTTGCAAGCCTGGCCGGACGCTCTTCCAGTTTGTGCATTTCCTGCCCTCCCCTTCAGAGCTGGCTCGAGACTACAGGACGCAGGAATACTAAAGGATTTATTTACTTCACACTCACCCTTGACTTTTTCCTTGTATTTGTGCCTGCCCTCCCCCAGTTCTGGGCCTCGGAGCTAGCGCAGAGTGGACAGGGGAGGGAGAGCCTACAATGGGGAGAGTCTACACAGAGGTTGAGAAGGCCCCATGAATCTATGGAGCCCGGGACTGGTCTGGATGTCTTCATAGGCCCCAAGCCCCGAGAAGCACCGTAGTCAATGGGCTCCCCAAGGACTGGGCTAGCGGCTGGGGAATGCCTGCGCGACTTGCTCAGTCCTTTCAGAAGCTTGGGGTCCGTGCAGTACTGGAGTGGTGAGATTGCCCAATCACCGCACCAGCGTGGGCCGCCAGGGATGGGGCTCACGCTTTAGTTTGAGGGTGTAGCTGCGCAGGCGCGGGCAGTGCGCGCGGAAGGCGTCCAGTACCGAGGGTCTCACCACGCAGAAGCAGTGTATCTCCCTCAAGCCCGCGCAGCGCGCCGCCACCTCCTCCAGAGCGGTGTACAGCTCGGTGGAAGCGGACGCGCGCACCTCGAGGGCGCGCAGAGTTTCGGCGTAGTGGCATGCTGCGAACCGCACGGGCCCTACCGTGTCCCCCGAGAGGTTGAGACGCAGCACAGCCACTGGTACGGCTGGTTGCAGGACGCGCGTTACAGCCTCGTCTGGAAGCGCAGGCTCCAGCTCCAGCTCCACCTCCAGCCCAGGGTGGCGGCAACGCAGTGTCGCCCACGCTTCATCAGGCAGGAGGGGCGCACGAGCATCTTCAGGGCACGCGCACCTCAATGCCAGGAGTGCAAAAGGGGCGCGATGTGGCGCGGCCAGCAGTTCCAGTGCGGCAGGCGACAGACTGGCCAGATGCAGTCCAAGGGCGCGCAGGTGCGGGCAAGCCTCCAAAAGCCTGAGCACAGAGCTGGGCTGCACGTTGTCCACTAGTGCATGGTTGTCCAGGAAAAGGCTACGGAGTTCGGGACAGTCACGTGCAGCCTGAAGCACCAGCGTGTCATCTAGTGTGTAGGGCAAGCGGCGCAGGTCGAGGTGGCGCAGTTGGTGAGCGGCTCCACAGACTGCGTGCACAGCGCTCAGGATGTCGCCGCCGGCGTCGAAAAGCGGCTTCTCTCCGCAGCATTCCAAGCGTAGGCCTCGAAGTCCTGGGGCTCGGCCGGCAAGAGCCCTCAGTAGCTCAGTGGCTGCTCGGCGGCTGGGCTTCTTTGATGGCTCATATTCCAGCCGTAGGTTGTGAATGTGGTCCAGGCAGGCGGACAAATACGGTGGCAACAAGTCTTCCAGCTCACTGTCACAGCTTGCATTAGAGCGACACAGAAAGGAGTTAGCGGTGTCACCATGAACTGGGGAAGAAACTTTTTTTTTAAAATTAGTGAATTGATTGATTGATTGATTGTGTGTGTGTGTGCAGGTGTTTTGCCTGCATGTATGTCTGCACCATGGGTGTGCCTAGTGTCTGAGGAGGCCAGAAGAGGGTGATGAATCTTCCAGGATTGTAATTACAGCTGGTTATGAGCTGGGAACCGAATCCAGGTCTTCTGGAAGAGCAGCTAGTGCTCTTAATTGAGGGGCCATCTCTTTGTGCCCCTCACTTTGGGTTCCACCGGCCCTCTCTATTCTCTGTGATGGGAACTTCATCCTTTCCCTTCAGAAGTCTTCAGAGGCTTCTCAGGCTGTAACCTCCCAGCATTCTAGCCCTGTGAAAAATTCACGGTAGACCGGAGTGGTGGTGGTGCACAACTTTAATCCCAGCACTCGGGAGGCAGAGGCAAGCGAATCTCTGTGAGTTAGAGGCCAGCCTGGTCTACAAGAGCTAGTTCCAGGACAGGCTCCAAAGCGCTAGGCTTACTCAGTAGTCTGTGGAGGTGAAGCAGGACCTCCAGACCACCAGAGACACTGCCTCTCTCACTTAGTTGCTGGATGAAGCCTCCAGGCCCAAGTGATTAAGTTTTCACGCCTCAGTTGCCTGTCTGTGCAAAGGAAATAATACTATCTACCTGCTACAAGCTTCTTGTGAGGATTAAATGAGCTAATTTATGCAAGGCACTTAGAACACACCGTGGAGGTTGGGGTCAGAGCTTAGTGATAGAATCCTTGCCTAGCAAGTGTGAGACCCAAGTTCAATCCCCTGGACTGAAAACAACACAGAACATTACCCAATACTAATTGGTATAAAGTAGGCAGCACTGAGTTTGTGTTCAAGCGTGAAGAGGAGTGGCAGCAGGAAGCAGCTCACCTGATGCTGGTGTCACGCCACACAGCACTGCTGGTGGTGGCGGCAGCCCAGGCCTTGCAGACTCTGGCGGTTGCAGCCCGGTCTGTGAGAGGCAGATCTCGGAAGATGAGCGCCAGCACTTCCTCTGGTAGTTTCTCTCCTGGCTCCACCATGGCGTGGGGGGGGGGGGGGCGGCTGGTCTGCTGCTGCCTGCAGCTGTGCCTAAAGTGAAAGAGGGAGCCCTGGGCTCAGAAAGGTCCAAGTATTTCAGAAATGCCAACGCTTGGGCATAGCGATGCTTGTAGCCTGGGAGACACTATGCACTTTGCAGAAAGTGTACAGCTCCTAGCCTGTGAGATGACTCAGCAGATAAAGCATTTGCCCCCAACACTGATGACTTGAGTTTTATCCCTGGGCCCCAGGGGTGGAAAGGAAGAAATGACTTCTGAGAGTTGTCCTCTGGCCTCCACTGGCATGCTTGTCACCCTGGACCGAGCACTTCCATAGTCATAAACATGAATAAACAAATCATTAAAAAAAAAAACAAAAGGATGGGACTGGAGAGATGGCTTAGCAGCGAAGAAAGCTGGCAGTTCTTGCAGAGGACCTAGGTTTGGTTCCAGCACCCATGTGGTGGCTCACAACTGTCCTTAACTCTGGTTCCATGGGATCTGGTACCTCTTTGAGACTCTTTGGGCACCAGGCACATACATAATGCACATACATACATACATACATACATGCAGGCAAACACTCATATACATAAAATATGTAAATCTAAAAATGATTTTTTTCAGACAGGGGACTGAAAAGATGGCTTATCAATTACGAACATTTATTGCTCTCAAAGAAGGTGGAGATTTGATTCCCAGTGTCCACATGGCCAGTCACAACTGTCCATAACTACAAATCTAGGACACCGAACACCCTCTTCTAGCCTCCATGGCGCTGCTGCACACCCATGTCACACAGACATACACGCAAACACATGCACAGTAAATAGATTAGTTAAAAAAAGAAAATGCTAGCTGGTCGTGGTGGCACATGCCTTTAGTCCTAGTGCTCAGGAGGCAGAGTCCCCTGGACCTCTGAGTTCAGGGTCATCCTGGTCTACAGAGGGAGCTCCAGGACAACCAGGGCTTTTACATGGAGAAATCCTGTCTCAAAAAACAAAACAAACAAAAAGAAAGAAAAGAAAGTGCAGAGGTTTCTGTTCAGAATGTTATTAATTTCCCCCAAAGGAAAAGGTGTAGCTCTGGTTGTGCACATCACACACACACACACACACACACACACACACACACACACACACACAC